GCACCATGTAGTTCTTCTGGTCTCATAGTTGTATAGGCTGCAGATCAGATGGTGTACCAGTCGCTAGGACTAATTGTTTCCATGAATTTTGAATTTTCTTCATTCTTCTTTGCTCTGGATGAGGAGAGACCCATCGTTGCACACTCCCTTCTTGAATTCTTTTTGCTGGCCCTGAAAACCAGAAGTGATTTACATGTTTACTGACATCATACAATTTTCATGATTGAAATTTTCTAATGAAAATAATCTCAATCCAAATTATGAAATATTTGAATATAAAGAATTTTAAGAACGAATGTTGTAACTTTAAAGACATACAGTAACTGCATGTAGGTAAGTGTTGGTTCCTAGAAGATTTTATGTACAATCCTATTGTGAAATTTCAGAGTTCAGAAGAATCTTGAAATAGCTATTGAATAATTTTTTTAACTGTTTTTGGTATATAGATATAGATATGTATACCAAAAACAGTTAAAATATAGATATAGATAGATATATATGTAATCATTAGCATTGTGTTCATCAAGTTTTGCAGCTGTCAGCACTTCCAGTTATTCCACCACAATTAACAAACACAGTACCCTCCAGAGTAAAGACTGCATAGAGTCATTTTAAAGATTGAAATCCTGTGACTTGTTAGTTGTTGTCAGTCAATTCTGACTCATGCCAATTGTGTGTGTTGTTAAGAGTAAAACTGCTCCATAGGGTTTTCTTGGTCATAGTCTGAACAGAAGCAGATTCCCAAGCTTATTTGCAGTACTGGTACCACTAGATTAGCAGTGAGCAGAAACTTTGTGCCACCTAGGGACTTTTTGCCTGTGACTTGATCTAATATTTTTCTTCAAACAGGTTATTTTAAGATACTGGCTCAATTATATAGTTTGAAATGGTAACCCCTATTTCATTATAGTATTTGATTGTTGTATTCTAAAGTAAAAATGGTATTTGTTAAACAGTGTTTTAACCAAACTTTTGATTTAAGTAATTTTGGATTGTGAATTGCAGCAGCAAAAATCTTGGTATTTGGGTGCAAAGAAAGGAAATCTAGCCTCAAAACATAGTGAGTCTTAAGTTGTTTATTAGTAGATGCTGTATTCCACAAAAGGAGCTCTGGTGGTATAGTGCTTAAGAAGGCATTTGGCTGCTAACCAAAAGGTCAGTGGTTCGAACCCACCAGCCACTCCGCAAATGAAAGTTGAGGCAGTCCGCTTCCGTAAAGATTTACAGCCTTGGAAACCCAGTGGAGAGTGCTGTGAGTCGGAATCAACTCATGGCAGTGAGTTTGTTTTTTTGA